ATATGGCGGTCCCGCGCAAGAGTTTTTTTTTTTTTTTTGTCCACTAAGTTCATACCTATCGATTCCTAATGCTATAGCTTAGGCGGGAACCATAAGGCAGCATTCTCGTATCTCATGAGACCTTGCGCTGCAAAGGGGACAATCGTGGCAGCAACACCGCTCCCAATCTCTGCAAGGATGCGAAAATTGATGTGATAATGTCGATACACCCCGATAGCTCTCTGAAAGACTTGACGAATAGCAAGCCGTTGCTAGCGAAAAGGCCGGGCTCCTTTGGGCGAACCGTGTGACAAGAAAAACTCAACGTGGCCTGGAGTACTCCGTAGGGTCATGGGACTCATAGCAGCAGGACATAGGGTTTGAAGAACCGAGGACTTGACCTGTATCGTGCGTTGTATTCTTTGATGTGTTGTAAATCTGAGACATTCACCTTGCACGAGAACGGCGGTGACACATTACGGCTAAGCACTGCTAGCATCCCCCAATGCATCTCTGATGTGCAGAACGAACGATGTCAATTGTTACCGTTTTAATCTATAACCCAATCTAGAGTCACGGACAGCTGGTATTGGCGGAAGGCTTTTGCAGCTTTCTCCTTACTCCCCTGGCAGCAAAGTGTGGCTTAACCTCATGGCAGCTCAACCATTAAAAATTGAGACAACTCGCTACGAGGCCAATAGCACCCTAGGCTCTATCCTTTACAGCCTCATTACTTATTTTCTGTGACATTCGGTCAATAATATACCGGCGAATGGCGAGGGATTCTTGGTGCATGAGCCACGTTTACACCGAGAGTCCTGGCCAGATCGAGTGTCTGAACTCGCATCTCAGATCTCGCATTTGTGTCACAGCCAAGATCCCAAGATGTAGATTCAGTGGTCTCTTCGGATTACTGGTAGCACCAAACTACTGAGAGAACTCAATGCTCAAGGTCATAAGTGGTTCCATATCATATTGATGATGCTGCATTTCTGTGGCGGCCACGTGCGCATGTATAAGCCCTCCCCAGCATCCTGGGTCAATCATTTTCGAAAAAATAATTAATGCTCTTTAAGGAGTCTATTCGCTTTCCCTGAAATCCTTTCGGGTCTATAGACAGCGGCATCGACGTGAGGGCAATGGCAAAGCTTAAACGAGTTCGAACAGGCTGTCTTACCTGTCGCGAGCGACATCTCAAGTGCGACGAAGCAGTTCCGGACTGCATCAACTGCCGCAAAAGTGGAAGGAATTGCAGACGAGGTCTTAGGATCAGCTTCCTTGATATAACAGTGCACAATCCGACACCTCAACGGTGTTTGGGCGTTTGTAAAGGTAAACTCGGAACCCAGGCCGCCCCTCATACCACAATCTACTGATTACACCATGGTGAAGCTGTTGGATTCTGTGACGAGTCACGTCTGATCGCCTCAGAATATCGAGGCGGATTACAGCGCTATACCGATGTGCGTGAGGCGAATAAAGAGACCACAAGTCCTGATAAACTGAACCGGTTTGCCAAAGATTTACACTTAGCCAATCCAGCAGGCTGTAATAGTATTCATGCCCAACTTTCTGCGCAGGCACAGCTTTCTGACGAGATGGAAGACAGCTTCCTCAGCCACCCAAGCCGCCATGCCAGTGCATCTACTGCCAACTGGCCGCCTGCGACGAAAGTAACAGGATACAGGAATCAGAAAAGCTTTGTAGATCAGATGGACTGGTCGTGTGGACAAGACTGGTCTATAACGGGAGTGTTCTACTCAGACGAGCTTCCGATTCACACGCCCTCTAGTTTACGAGACTCTAAGAGAGCATCGTTAATCTGCCATGGGCCGACCAAGAGCAATGACTGGAGTTCGGAAACACTGGTGATGACAAAGGAGCCAAATCTATATGGCAGCAAATATAATGACGATATGATGGAGTTCATCGCAACTCAGGACGAACTCAATTACCTGCAAGCCTTTGCCGATGGTGTCGGCGTGTGGATGGACTCACTCAATAGCGGCAACCATTTCACCCAGGTGATTCCATGGCACGCACTTAAATCATCTGTTCTTCTCAACTCCCTGATGGCGTGCGGAGCAAAGCACCTCTCCTTCAGCAAGCCCGAATTAGAAGACAGAGCCATTGCACTCTACAACACGGCCACAGCGCAGCTCGTTCGAATGCTCCAAAACCCAGAGAGAAACGTTGTCGACTGCACAACGGCATCCATTTTGCTCAATGTATACGAGGCCATGTCGCATAAGCCCATACATAAAATGGGCCCTTCATTCGAGAGTGCGGATGGAATGCTGCCAGTACGGGCATCCCGGCTGCATGCTTCTGGCTGAGCATCGGCATGGAAGTCCTATCCTGCTTATCCATGAATTGGGTCGTAGCCTGGCACCCTGACGATTGGGGACTCGATCTAGATTGGAGCCACGATAACGACCTGGACGGCGGCGACTCTCAGACGTGGGTTCACAGGTCGTTTTATATCCTGGCTAAGGTTGTCAACTTCCGAGCAACGTCCCTGACATATCATCCCTCTGATCCGCACAAGCACCAATCCAGGCTCTCTGACCGTCTCGCAGAGTGGCAGGCGCTGAAGCAGCTCTGCGATGACTGGAACAACTGCAGTCCCAGATCTATGCGGCCAGTTGGCTACTTGGCTATGAGTGGTTCAACTGAGCCGTCGGCGTTTCCGAAATTTTGGTCAGTGATAATCGTCAACCTTTACATGTATGTGTGCAGTGCGCTAACATCATCAGTCCAATAGGCTGGCGCAGACGTCGGCAATGCTGGGTAGAATATTCTATCACACGGCCCAGTGTATTCTCGCCCAAGTAAATCCAATAGAGTCATCAGAACAGTCGCCGGAAATGAAGGAACTTCAGTTGCATCACGCTCGTCAGGTAATGGGAATCGTGGCAAGCGATCGTGATCGTAGTATCATGACAATCGCCCTCCAAGCAGTCAATGTCGCCTTCTTATCGTTGGTAAACCCAAAAGAACGAGAAGAAGCTTCTTCGATTCTTCACGAAGCTCAGACGTCCAGCAGCAACACAAGCTCAGAAGCACATAAAACGGCGTGCCAATGGCACATGGCAGTGATGGAATTGTCAGAAGTAGAGTCGGTCTCGGCTGTGTCATTTCCCTGTGAACAATCTTGGTTTAGGGCTGCAAACATGTCAAATTCCATATCGTGGGAATTTATCAATCAACATAGTTCAAGGGCTGAACCACCGATTGATAACCCTCTCGAGTCGGCCTATTTTGGTCACGTAGATCAACCATACAAAACCTGGTATCAACCGATATGTGGGAATGACTTCCAAGCATTCAGTTTTGGGATGTAAAATGTTTTTGTACATCAGTGTATTTCAGGGAGCAACGTACAGGTTGTGCAGCTTATTTCTTGATCTTTTTGTTCTTTGCCCCCTAGTTTATGAATCAAATTCTAGCTGTTTTGTGGCCGAGTCTCCAGCAGCATGCATAAGGTGTCGTGTGTGAATTTCTGCCAAGGGTATCATGGTTTTGTATGCGGTGATGCCTTTTGTGGTAGGTCCGGGCTAGGACGGCTTTGACGGCTCCCCTCCTGATGTGAAATTCATGCTGTACCCCCCAGTCTTATCGTCCTTGACCATCTGAAAATTGTCGGTACTTAGGCCGAAAGGCTTCAATATGCCGTCCCCAAGGGTCTTTAATTTCCCCCACATTTCTGACATTTCCTTTTCCTGCGCGGCCTTTGTTCGAGGGGGTAGTGTCCTGAGTTGACTTCGGACTGTGCGCAAATCCGCAGCTCCCAAGCCAGGCATAGTCGATAGTGTCTTGTAGTCCTCCTCCGCACCTGCAAGATTTTGCCAACCCCCAGCTTCTGAACGAGCCCGCGCACGCCGCAGCAAAGCTTTGGTGCGGATTCTCTGAATGTCGGCTTTCCTCGTTTCAACCGATGAATTCTTGGGCGGTGATGGTGCAGGAGCAGCACGGGATGCGCCGGAACTAATGATTTCCTCGTCAACGCCATCTGGGTCTGTGAATGAGGGTTTGCTCGATTCCTTGTCGCTTGCATCTGACTCTTTCGAAGGGCTCATCGAGTTGCACAGACCCGCGTCTGTCTTCTCCAGCTCCACCAGTCCGTCCAATGCTTTGGAAGCAATCTTGATAGCTTCTGTCCACTGCTCTACCTGTAAGTGGCAGGCCGCCATGTTGCTTTGAATAACGGCACGTTCATAATGCAGGTAGTTGGGGCATGACAATATGGCGTCCTCGTACTTGGCCAGTGCATTCTCATAATCCCTCGACGAGTACAGGGCGTTTGCCTCCGCTTTGATTGAATTTGACTCGGCAACCAATGCCTTCCACCGGATGCACACATGCATGTTAGTTTGTGAGGATCAAGGTGGATGGCAAGCGGGCAGACATGTTGACCGGTTGAGGGTTGGGCTCACCTGCTCCTCCTCGATCGAGAACTTGACTATCTCTGGCACCGTGCCAACGTCTGACGGGTCATGGCCAGCTGATTCTGCCATGTTCAGAGAGCGCAACGGAGATGATACAGATGCAGAAGACAAAGAGCTAAGTGGAGACGCGCGAAGGAGGGGGCTGAGAGTGAGAGGGAGAGAAGACGCAGAGCAGCTTCAGCTTAGCTGTGGCCGCAAGCCAATCAATAGTGGAGCACCAATGGATTGAAAACTTGCCATACAACAAAAGGTGCATGTGGGAGACACACACAACCTGCACTGTTCAGAGACATAGACGGAAGACCAGTAGACTTGTGAAATTTTAAAATTAATTCGCTCGCATGTTATAAAACCTGTTTCTCCCCCAACTTCTCAATTTTCTTGCGTCGAGACCAGCGTTCGTCCCAACTTCCTGCTCAGGTGGTCGCTCCGTGTATCGGCTGTTCTGACCAACTTCTCTTCCATAGATGCACGCATAGTCCTCCTCGAGCACCATGGCGCCTAGAACAGAGTAAGTGTATCACACCCCTGAACCAACATTTTCGTTTGTTTCTTCCCTTCGATTTACCTCCTGTGGCAAAGGGGAAAAAAAAAGCAAGGCGGCAAACATCGGGCTAACACCAATCCAAGTTTCCCCCCTGTTCGGGCCTGTCTCTTCGACATGGACGGCCTGCTTCTTGACACAGAAGATCTTTACACGCTTTGCGTCAACCTCGTCTTGGACAAATATGGACGGCCCCCGATTCCCTGGTCCGTCAAGGCCAAACTCCAGGGTCGTCCCGGTCCCGCAGCCACCAAGATCTTCTTCGACTGGGCAAAGTTGCCCATCAGCACAGAGGAGTACATGGCTCAGCTCCATGTCTTCCACAACCAAGTGTTTCCGACTACTAAGCCGCTTCCCGGAGTCGTGGACTTGCTCACCAAACTCTCGCACCCGGACATCAAGAATGTCCACATTGCCTTGGCGACAAGCTCTCACGAGAGCAACTATGAGCTCAAAACCGCCCACCTGGGGTACCTTTTGTCCATGTTCCCAGATCACCGCCGTGTGCTTGGTGATGACCCTCGGCTGCAACCTGGTCGGGGCAAACCGCTCCCAGACATTTTCTTGCTGGCCCTGAAGACCATCAACGACTCCCTTCCAGCTGGCGAGAAGCCCATCACGCCCGAAGAATGCCTCGTGTTTGAGGACTCTGTCCCAGGCGTTGAGGCTGGCCGAAGAGCCGGAATGAGAGTGGTCTGGGTCCCACACAAAAAGCTCAAGGAGGAGGTTGCGGGCAGAGAGGAAGAGATTCTGGCCGGTCGTGCTGGAGAAGCTGGAGACGTGGACATGCACCAGGTTGGTGAGATTGGGGATGGATGGGCCGAGGAACTGACCACTCTGGAAGCGTTCCCATTCAAGAAGTATGGCATTGTTGTTCCTTCTTAACAGAAAAATCTCGTTGCCTTTCTTGATCTAGACTACTGAATGACATGTTCTGACGACATCCTTTTTTGTTCCGTCTTTCCCTCGGCATTCTTCCTATTGTGACATCAAGGCCTGCTGAGCATGCATCGATGCGGGGATTTATAACACACATTTAACTCTACCCACCGTGCACCAGAAGCTGTTTTGTACGACCACCCCTGCAGTGTCAAGTTTCTTTAATTCTACGTGAGAAGTTACTATCTAATCTATGTCTTCACATACGTCAAAATACGGTACAGTGCCAAAAAAAGGGAATTTCTATCGCAATACAGCCCAGTGTCTCCTACACAGTGAACCTCTCCATCCAAATAGACGTTCATCTCTGCCTCAGCCTTGTTAATTCTCATAACCAGCCAAGTACATGGATCCTTGCAGAGGTGGTTGTGTCGGACCTCCATAGACCGTTCCCAGCGACATGTCAGCGTCCGTAGTCAAAGGAAATGGCGCACCCGAATACTCTTGGTTGGCGCACCCACTCTCTGCCAAGGGTAGACCCTTATCTCGTCGTAACTGCAGTGTATCATGTGCTGCCTCGTTCGTAAATTTAACGGCTCCCATGTCCGCAACCGCAGTTGGAATGGGCCCAAGAGTACCCTTAGTGGCATTTCCTACCGGAATGTATGATTCCGGGGTCGCCCCTATGGACGAAACACTCGAACAGGCCGTGGAGGCTGATTTCGCAAGTTGCGGTGGCCATGCAGCACTGCGCGGAACGTTGAAATATGTCAATGATGGGTGCTGGTCTTGCTCGCCGTGTTGAACTTGGCCGGAATGCTGCTGGCCTGGCATTGAACGCGGGGAGCTATAATTCATGTCATTTCCGGAGTTGTGATCTCCATTTCCTTTGTATCGACCCCTTGTCGAAGCCTGGTCGAACAGTTCTGCCTCTTGCCTGTTTGTGAACGAGGCGTCTGATATTATCATTCCTCGGGGAGCGCATGCAGGAGGCCTGTTACAGCCGACAGCAACAGACGCACGGAATTGTCGCAGTTCGGTCTCCAGAGCCTCATTACATCGTAACAAATGCTGGAACTCTCTGTTGAAATTCCTACTTCGGAGGCGGCGGACCTCCTGCTCCAGACGAGCGATATGTTATTTGGTCCTCGCTCGAATGGCCCTCTGGGACTCGCGGTCGTTGGCTCGCTTCCGCTCAAGTTGAGCAGAGTTCAAATGCGATGCTGTTCTTGTATCTAGGGGATGATTCAGACCATGGTATTAGCCGCTGTGCCATGAGTTGTGTGACGGTAGAAACATATTGCATCCGGTGTCAAGGGATAGTTCACTTTTACGCTTGGCTGTTCTGGTTCCAGAATCAGATGCATTAGAGGTCGGTGTTGACATTATGACGACCCCGATGCCTGGGTAGTCTGCAAGTTCAAGCTTGCTGGGACAGGGCAGGGCAGGGCAGGGCAGGGCAGAGAGAGTGAGTTATTGCAAGGAGCATGCGGCGAAACCGACGCATGACGCCGGATGGCGACGAAGTCATGCAGTTGATATGCGTATAGGAACGGGTTAAAAGCCAAAATAAATGGGCTCTGGAAATAGCCGGTCCTTGGAAGCGCATTTTGCGATGGTAGAGACGAAGTCAGAGTCTTGTAGGAACCACGGCAAGAACCTAGCCATGCTTTCTGAGATGAATCATTTGAACATATACATTAGGCATTGTCTGGTGAAATAGTTATGAAACTACGGCTGAATTCGAGTTTCCAAATACTAAACATGGCGACACGAGAGACTGTCAAGCAGGACCCTACACTACTCAATACTGAAATGTGAAAACTCAAAGAGATTGAGGAGATTGCTGCGTTGCTTTATCAATCGTCTATTCACTGGGATGAGCCTCCCAAACCCCCGGCTCATGCCGAAGCGACTCTCGGGGCGTCCGCGCTGTTTCGGGCACAGCAAGTCGAAGCCGCACTATGTCTATACTCCATACGCACATGTAGGGAGCCCCGAAACGCAAACACAGCGAGCGTTCTGGTACGATACGGACCCATGCAGTCTGGGGTACCTCGCTGGCTGTAAAACTAGGTCGTGATCAAGGCTCAAGGACAGCCCATGTCTAGACTCTTGGGTCCATGTCAATGTCGGCGTTGGGCCCTCTAAACCCCACCCGTCTACGCCCATTTAGTTAACGTACGGAACCTCGTATTTTAGAGTTGATCACCGGTCACGCAGCTGCGCCTTCCCCCACAAAACGTATCAATATTGATAGAAGTGGATCCTGTTTCCTAAAGGGCATAGTGCAGCTGCGTGTTTATCTGGTTGTTCTTTCCATCGAGCCAATGCCAACAAAACTCGCCGTTCATTCCAACATTGTCTCAACTTGTAAGCTAAAACCGTGCATCAATACGACTACGATCAAAGATTCCCCGGCATCCAGGTCCTACAATGAATTAAACTAAACGAAGAAGAGTCAAGACAGAAATAAGAACACAAAAATGGGTCAACTTGGTAGTACGCATGGAGTGGCCGTGGGAAACTAATAGGGCCTCCCGGAACACCGCATAATCGGAAGGGGTCGCAAATCAGCGACTCACAAACAACATGGGCCGAATCCATGACCCGACTCTCTTTTCGTTAGAACCAGCCGTACGGGGCCGGAGCCCGAAGCGAGGAATCATTTCGAAGACGTAAGGTGAACAACTTCCTGCGCCCGGGTGGCCTAACGTAGCATCGGCCTGAGCGATATACCAAGGATCTCCAGCACAAACATCTTGGCGCCACCGTACGCTGTCCCGCGTTTTGCAAGGGCGAATCCTTGTTTTCAGCGGGCTGTAGGGCCTTGGTTTCCTACTTGGTCACTGAAGATGCTTAATCGGTTAGCTCCCATGCCAATATCTTGCTCAGGTTCCTCATTCTTACAGCTTATATCCCAGAAGTTACCGGTGACAGGTGGAGATGTCCGGATGGGCGCCGGCAACATCAATTGATGTCGGTACGCTTCAGTGGGGTTGAGAGACATGGACTGTCTGATGCCATTATGTGCCGAGATTGCTCACTTGGGCCACATTGTGAGTGTCTCGGACGGTTTGTCCCCCTTGCTCATGTCTAGTCCAGCCATAAGTATCCGGGCCTACCCTCGCGTGAGCCGTCTTGTCCTGTCTTCTAACCGAATCATCACGGCCTGAGCTTTTTCATCATCATCAAAAGCAAATTCAGCACCTTCACCTTTGCCGTGACACCTTGCGTCGGTACCTCTGAATCATGTGGTTCGGTGCTGTTACCGTCTTGTCCGTGCTGCCATTGCTGGCCTCGGCAGCACCCGTGACGGATACCGAGCCCAAGATTGACTATGATGCAATCATTGTTGGGGGCGGTCCGTCTGGGCTGGCTGCTCTGAGTGCCTTGGCACGTGTTCGTCGCAATGTCTTGCTGGTAGACTCGGGTGTATACAGAAATGGTCCTACAAGACACATGCACGATGTTTTGGGATTTGACGGTACGGCTACCCACGATGAAATTAGTTCCGCCGGTTCAGATGACCGTTTTGCTAACTAAGAGGGGTTTAACAGGTGTTCAACCTGCATACTATCGCTGGGCAGCCCGGAAACAAATATCCCATTATGACACTGTTTCCATGACCAACGGAACTGTGACCAAGATCACAGCACAGGAGAACAACACCTACTTTACCGTAACCGGTACTTACCAGGACAACGAGGTGAAGAATCTGACGGCCCGCAAGGTCGTCCTCGGCACTGGGCTCAAGGACCTCCTCCCCGAAACTCCCGGTCTCGGCGAGAACTGGGGTAAAGGAATCTACTGGTGCCCCTGGTGCGACGGCTACGAGCATGCGGACCAGTCCATCGGTCTACTCGGTCCCCTCACAAGTGTCCCCGGTACGGTTCGCGAAATCCTCACTCTCAACAAGGACATCATTGCCTTTGTCAATGGCACCGACACCCCTTCCAACCGTGAAGCCACTGAGAAGAGCAATCCTCGCTGGCAGGATTACCTCAATCTACACAACGTAACAGTTGAGAACCGCACCATTGCATCAATAGAGCGCCTAAAGAATGGCTCCAACCCCAACGCCGACCCCAGCCTGCCCTCGTACCCGGAGTACGATCTCTTCCGTGTCTACTTCACCGACGGGGTCTCTGTCACCCGGGCCGCCCTCCTAGCCAGCTTCAAGAGCGAGCAATACTCAAAAGTCGGAGAGGAAGCCGGCGTTGTATTGTACGGCGAGAAACTAGGTGTTGACCCTACAAAGGGTCTTGTCACCAGCGTCCCTGGAATCTACGCCGTTGGCGACTGCAACTCGGACAATTCGACCAACGTGCCGCATGCGTTGTACAGCGGGAAGAGGACCGCCGTCTTTTTACATGGTGAGCATGCTCCCCCTCTCCGGAAACTTGGCGGGAAAAGAAAAGTACTAACTCATGGGGGAAACAGTGCAATTAGAAAGGGAGACTGCCAACGCGGAGCTGGCTGGCTTGAACAAGACATTGCATACACGAAATGTTCACGAGGAGGCCCGTTCTCTTTGGGATCACATGAACGGCGACAAGGACGAGTTGTTGTACGCCGGGCCTTTCGAGCAGTAAATTTCTTTGCACGTGGGCTTTTTGTATATTATATGACACGACATGGTTAGATACAGGTGCCCAGTACCAATGTAGAATTTGGCATTTTAAAATACTAATCAGCGTAAATGATAGATTTTTTTGAGTTCTATTGAATGCCAAGACGAAAATCTTGTGAAATGTGAGGTTGGGTCTGTTTTGTTTTATTTTTACTTTGTTAATTACTTGCCCACGTTGATTGAAGATTGCAATACATACTGGGTAGCTGACTGCTGAGGCGCTCACAATTGCTATATCCGTCTCTGGCGAAATTCAACCCACCTGGTTTTTGCGAGACCCTAAAGCGCAATACAGCAAAACGGTCGGTGACGTCAAAAGGTGCCCTCATCTGAACGTGGGGCGCAGTATTTGAACTCCGTCCTGGCAACTGCTGCTACTCCCAAGCTGCCGCACACTGGCTGTCCATTTCGTTCGCCGCGGGCGATTTTCTCTCCCGAGCAAGATTAATAGGCCCAAAGCTAACCAGTTGATGCCCGGGTCCTTGTACGTGCGGGGAATTCATCGGCCCAAGATAGCCAAAAGAACCAAGCTCTCTTGGTCTCGGTGCCTACCGAGCCAACCTCCAGATCAACTAGTCTCGTAGGCAAGAAGACAGCCGGACAACGGCATCATGGCAGACTCCCACTTCTCACTGACCGAAACCCTCCTCTCCTCCGACGCCGCTGGCTTCCGGCAGGCTACCCAGTCGACCTTTCTCAAGCGAGCAGCCGAGGGCAAGGTCCCCAAAGATATTCTGGGACAATGGCTCGCCAACGACCGTCTCTACATCTTGGGATACATCCAAGGAATCGGCAAGACGCTAAGCTTCCTGCCCCTCCCGGAGACGGTGCCGCCGCCGTCACAAGGTAACAGGGAGAGGGCAACCACGCGGCTCCTGGACTGGCTCATCGACGCCATGGTCAACATCCGCCGCGAAGAAAAGTTGTTTGTCGACACGGCTCGCAAGTTCGGCATCAGCGTCAACCTGCCCGCCGACAAGGACGGCCACGTCCCCGACAGCGCCAAGCTGGAAGGCCTACGGCGCTTCGAAGCTCTCTTTGGCGGGCTTGGCCCCAGCACCAGCGCGACACTGCCGTGGCTAGAATGCGCCGTCGTCTTCTACGGGACGGAAAAGTGCTATCTGGAGGCGTGGACGTGGGCCAGGAACCGCCAGCGTGAGCTGGGTGAGCTGGGTGAGCTGGGCGAGCTCGGAGGCGGAGATGCCGATGACGGGGCCTTGCGCACCGAGTTCATTCCAAACTGGACTGGCACCGAGTTTGTTGCCTTTGTCGACCGGCTTGGCAAAATCGTGGACGATGGCGTTGTGGAGTGCACTAGAGGCGCGGGAGACGAGGTTAGAAACGAGCTTGTTGAGCGGTCGTTGGCCAAGTGGCGAGAGCTGCTGGCGGCCGAGAAGGCTTTTTGGCCGGCAATGGAGTAATAATAGTACGTGCGCAACCTGTTGTGTGTTTTCATCATGCAAGGTGCCTGGAAATGGCTGTGAGGCTTTGGGAACAAGCCGGAGATGATGTATGCGATGGTGGCATGCATGACTCCAGTCGCCAGTTCTACTCGGCGGTTCCTTGAAGACCACAGTGGCCGGCTGAGCGGATATGCTTGGCGTCTTGGCGTCGAGGTCTAACCTCGAGTCTCTCTCTGCTCCGTACGCTGTTTGCGATTCGTCATCCGGTGCGTGTGCTATGCCAGTGATGCTGCCTGCAGACAGAACAACAGAACAGCCCCCTTTGGTCTTTTGTCTCTTGTTTCTTTGCGCTAGTGTGCCTCGGCGTGTTCTTGCAATACCAGGCACGCAAAGTCACCCATCGTATAGCCAGTACCACTCCCAAGGCTCATGTATGGAACTTGTTCGCCGGGCATGCCGGGGCAAAGTGGCATGTACACAAAGGGGACGGACCACACATTTGGAGGTGCATCACGACAGACGCTTCAGTGTGTCGGCGATGGTTGCATCGGGCATAATAATAACTTACCACTTGTAATATGCACAGAGAGTCTGGGCCTGGCTATTGTCCAGTGTGCCAGTACACCAGCCACGTTGATGGACCAACGGACCAGTTGACGCTGCGTGTGTGTCTGCGGCCCACTTCAATGCTAGCCTGGCCGTCGGGTTGTTGTGTCCAGCAGCAGTCGCATCGCTCCGTAGACTCGCCCCCAAACATTCCAATGTTCGTCACAAGCATAGCGGCGGGCCTTGGACACCCAAAGACATCAACGTATGGAACTTGTTCGCCGGGCATGCCGGGGCAAAGTGGCATGTACACAAAGGGGACGGACCACACATTTGGAGGTGCATCACGACAGACGCTTCAGTGTGTCGGCGATGGTTGCATCGGGCATAATAATAACTTACCACTTGTAATATGCACAGAGAGTCTGGGCCTGGCTATTGTCCAGTGTGCCAGTACACCAGCCACGTTGATGGACCAACGGACCAGTTGACGCTGCGTGTGTGTCTGCGGCCCACTTCAATGCTAGCCTGGCCGTCGGGTTGTTGTGTCCAGCAGCAGTCGCATCGCTCCGTAGACTCGCCCCCAAACATTCCAATGTTCGTCACAAGCATAGCGGCGGCTCTTGAACCGCCAAAGACATCAACCCGCTGAATAGCCACGGCCATTTTTATCCCGCCTCTGATGCGCCCCCATCTAGAAGGCTCTGTCGCATTCTATCCGCAGCCCCAAACGGCCCAGGTGCCCTCTCGGCATGTCCCTCCAGGTCCCCCAATGACGGCCCCCTGTCCGAGGCGGTGCAGTCGTGTGGTCCCTTGCTGCGCCACCATCGACGCTCAAGTGCTGCGTTTCACCGGGCCACCAACAAGGCGCACTTTGTCCTAGACCAGTTGACGTGTTTTGGTGTCCCATACTCCTCCGTACTATGCCTAACGTGCTGCCGTCATAGGTGGACGTGCGGCCGATGAGCAAGCCAGTGGCCGCCGCCGTCAAAGACCCCGGCCTGCCAGTGCTTGGCTTGCGCTCCCCCACTTGATCCAACGCTTGAGTGCTTTGTTCACGGCTTTCGGCCTTCTGTCAGATGATATTTAAGTCGGCCATGTCCTCCAGGTGCGCACTTTGCTTTTCCTCTCCCCAAACTTCACTCATCTCTCGCCTCCCCTATCAAAACATCCATCTATCTCGACAACGTCAATACCATCACAAGCGTCCCTTATCACACAAACAACCACAATGTCCAACCAGGGTTACTACGGCGGCGGCGGCGGCGGCTATCCCCAGCAGCCTACCTACGGCCAGCAGTCCGGATATGGCGGCCAGGAAGGCTACGGCCAGCAGCAGGGCTACGGCCAGCAGGGCAGTTATCCGCAGCAGGTAAGAAACAAGGACAACGCCAAACCCGCGTTATTCCAAGCGTCACTCCAACGCAAGCTAACAAATCTCTCATAGCAGCAGTACAGCCAGCAGTCGGGCTACCAAAACCAATACAGCCAACAACAGCCGTCTTACGGCCAGCCCCAGCAGGGCTACAACAACAACCAGTACGACAACCGCGGCCACTCGCCCCAGCCATCCCAGCAATACGGCCAGTCTGGCGGGGCCGC